TGACAGTGACAGGCATTCTCAGACAGCATTAGGGGTGGGAGTCAAGGGAGACGAACAACAACAATAAAATAAAAAAAACACCTGTATATTGTGACAGAGACACATTTGGCTTTCTTTCAGTCTCTGGAATCACAACTTCCCCGTCTCCACCCACCCAGGGACCATCCTTCATTTGCCCTGTTTGGTTCGTAGTTCATCTTTGTGGGGCTGAGCAAAGAGAAGAGAAGGAACACTTTTTCTAAAAACAAGTACAGTTGACCCTTGAACAACATGGTTTGAACTGCATGGGTCCACTTATATGTGGATTTTTTTATAATAAATATAGTACAGAACTGTAGTATTTTCTCTTCCTTATGATTTTCTTAACATTTTCTTTTCTCTAGCTTACTTTATTGTAAGAATGCAGTATATAATACATGTAACATACAAAAATGTGCTAATTGACTGTTTATGTTATGGGTAAGTTTCCTGGGAACAGTAGGCTATTAGTGGTTAAGTTTTGGGGGAGTCAAAAGTTATCTGCAGGTTTTTTACCTCACAGGGGGGTCGGCGCCCTTAGCCCCCACAATGTTCAAGGGTCAACTGCATAAAGCTACTTCAGGGACTGTGGGCAAGATGGGGGAAGGGTAGGAAGAAGGGAGGAAAGGAGAGAGAGAAAGACAAAAGAGCAGGAGATGAAAAAAGCAGCAGCCAAGATGCTGACTTTCACGGGAGAGAGGGAGGAAAAGAGGGCCCTAAGGGGTCTCACTGTGTGGTGGGAGAAATAATTCCCTCTCATATCCCATGCCCTCAAGACAACCTTCCGCAAAAAACCACATGGCTCTTCAGTGCTCTCTGGTTTGTTTAATTCTGTTGAGTGTGACCTGGTGCCCACCTAGCTTCCAGATAGTCCAGTTTTAGTCAAGTAATAACAGCTCTGTACGATGATTCCCCCCAAACCATGAAATATCTTAAATGCACTGTGTATAGGGAAGCAGGGAGAAATATAATGTATTTGTGAAAGAGTTTCAGTAAATGGTGGGTTAAATTCTCTGACACTTAGTCATCGCTTTGGTTACATGGAAAATTCACATTAAGTGAGCACATCTCCAATAATATTAGATAAATTAGGTGTTACTGCATTTAAATTCCTAGAAATGTGGAGTTACAAAAGGTCCTTAAATAAACTTCTGGGTCCCGTATTTGGCATAAGAACTATATGGTGTTTGGAAAGAGTTTTCCCTTCTGGCATAGCTAAGGTCAGGATTGGCATTATAATGGTCCTAGAAAAATAAACCTTCACATTCCAAAATTTTGACCAATTTTAGGTGAGCACTCTAACAGCTGCAAAAAGCAAGTCAAAGTTTCCAAAGCCCCTCTCTCCTCTGCACTTGAAAAGACATGTAAATGTGCTCAAATAAGGAAAAGTATGGAAAGTTTATCAGATCCCGAGGAATTCTGAAAGATCATTCAAATTTGTTATTGTCATAATTTTCACAATATTATGCTCATACCACTAAAAGGGATGAAATTCTGGTCACAAGAAGGAGGAACAGACCACTTTAAAACATCCGAAATGTTTTTCACAAAAAAGCTTCAGGAAAGTGGTAGAAGGAGATGCTTTTTACTCAAAGAATCAGAAGATTACTCCACAGGGTAAATGAGGCTAGCTAGTCTTGGCCTTGTAAGATCATGTGGAATTAGTTACAGTAACTTACATCGATATCAGGCAGTTCACCCCAATTTCAAGATCAAATAGAGCCCTCTAAAACTGAATAGGCCAAAAATACAGCGATGTTTCTCCCTGTAAATTAAAGTCACCACAAACACTGCTAGCAATTTTGGGTTCTACATCTCTTTGGAAAATGTTGGACTCTAAATGTGCTTCCAGAATGCATTTTACTACCACCATGGATTACTCATGTACATTTGTGATGTTAAATGATTAGTCACCATTTAGAATGTTCATATAGTCTCAAAGAATGTTTAGCCAGTCTCCAAGAGCACATGCCTTTGTAGGGCTTGGAAAGGGGCAGAATCTGTTGATCTACCCTTTTCTTGGGGAGGATGGGCTGCAGAAAAGCCCCGGGAAGGAGAGCTTTGATTGAAATGAGCAATAACCCACACAGCTTCATTTCTTTAACCACAAAGCATCAGGTAAAGGGATAACCCATTTGAACTTCATCATAGGATCTAAGATAAAGACCAGTCAGAATGATTAAATACCTAGGCAAAAAGCTCTGCAAATGAGGGAGAAATGAATTCATATTTTCTGGTTATTAATGGTTTAAACATTGACAAACTATACTTCTCAGGATCAGATTTCCAGAAAGAAAGAAAAAAGGGATAAATTAACATTTATTGGAGGCTTGTTGTGTTGCAGACACCAGGCAAGGTGTTCTCCGAGTATCCATGGGAGGTGATTGCTATTATTCCCATTTTACAGAAAATCACATTCAAGTTCAGGGAAGGAAGTAAACTGCCCAAAGTCACACATAGTTGGTAAAGACTGAGGCCAGCTCTGAATTCCACCAATTTTCCCCCTACATCTTGAAACTTACCTGAAGTGTCATATACGTATTTCTTCTCATCCTGGATCAACAAAATATGTGTCCCTACTTTGTTCCAAAGTTGACCTTCACTTTTGTCTCCAGTGTCCTGCTTTCCCATGGGTCTGTGGTAGGACTGCTGCTTCAACAAACTAGTTTCCTTCCACCCACATCTTCTGACCTCTGTACACACACACATGCTCAATTTTCCCATCCTAAACCTCTTCCTTAACTCATCTTCTCCTTCTAAATACTGCCCTAGTTCCCTTTCTTTTCATCCCCATACTTCATAAAAAGAATATTCTACACTCCTGGCTTCTACTTTACATCCTATATCATTCTGCAACTGGTCATATTCCAGTTTATAACCTCTTATCTCATAGAAACTTCTCTGGAAAAGTCCATTTGTAACTTCATGATTTTCAAATCCAGTGGCCTCTTCTCAGGAGTCATCCTTCTTGAATGCTTTGGAGATTTGGCCCACTCTCTACTCCTTGAAACCTGGCTTCCCTGAAAAGACTTTCCTAATTCTCTTCCAAAATCCACTGGCTCTCTTTGTTTCATTTCCTCCTCCATCTCAGCCCATCCCTTAAATACTGGAATTCCTCATGTTACCATCCTCTGTTTTCTCTTCTTTCCATGGGCTTGTCCTCCTTGGTTCCTCCAATCTACCCTGGGTTTCAGCTGCCACCAGCATACATATACGCCGAGCCACCAACCTCTTCTGAGCTCTGTGATTGTCTTTTCCAGTTGTTTTTTGTATCTCGAAGTGGATGGCTCAGAGATTCCTCAACAAACCATGTCCAAAACTAAACTCATCCAACCCCTCCTTTCCAGTCTAGTCTTTTTCCTTCCCTGGTAAATGGTGTTGCCATCTCCCTAGTAGTCTAGGTGTTGGGGACCTCAGAATCTGCCTTGACCTCAGAATCTTCCTTACCTGGACTCAAAAGTTCTGTGTCTCTATGTCCTACATATCCTTTGAACTAATTCCCGTTGCTCCAACACCTCTAGTCCAGCCCTTTAGCAGGTCACCTGTGTTAATGCAACAGCCTCCCAAGTGGTTTCTCTGACTCCATTATCTCGTCTTCTAATCCATCCTCCATACTGCCACCAAACTGTTCTTTGTAAAACAGGGTATTCTTCTGTTTGTAAATTTTCAGTGGCTCCATATGGACTACAGAGTAAGGCTTTAATGGCCAACCAGTCCTAGCCTATCTTTCCAACCTGAGCTTTGAGAACTTGCTCTTACTTGTAGCTGTTAATTGGCCCTAAACTTCTTTCATGCTTCTGAGGCCTAGGTTATGCTACTCATTCACCTAGAACACCCTTCTTCCTTTGGCCCACCTTCATCATCCTTCAAGGCTCCCTCCATATCTGTTATCTTTATCTTTCCCCAAACACCCACTGCCAGTCTTGAAGGAAGAACTGTTCCCATATCAGTGTTCCCATACCTCTCTTTATAGAACTAACCACAAGGCTTAATAGAGTCATTTGTTGACTCATTGCCCCACCATGAATCCTTCAAAGGCAGAGACTGCATTATTCATCTTTGTAGCACTGGAGTCTAATTCAGTGCTTGGATCATACTTGGATGCTCAATAAATCTGTGTTAAAAGAACAAATTAATAGACCTTTTCCTATTTGTGGTATTCAATTAGGCTTTAGCTTCATTATCATAGGATTTGTGAAAACATGTCATATATCAAAGACTATAGAGCAGCTTTTAGTGACACATATGGAGCTTGGATTTCTATTAAAATAGTTTTAAATTCTGATAGCTATTAAAGTGTAAACAATACATTGCCTATAATAAAAATAAACAGAGCTGATGTTCTGTCAACATTATAACTACTTTCCTTTTAAAAAAATTCATTTTCTATCATTCATTCATCCATCCATCCATCCACTCACTCCTTCATTCATACCATACTTCTTTCAAAAAGAATTTGAACTTAAATATTTTAGTTTGTTTTATCTATCAACATGTTCTATCTGCCCAAGTGTCTCTAGTCTTCCTATCTAATGCAGTTAGTCATTACTGCAGGAAAAACCTATCTAAGTCCATTAAACTAATTTTAATTCTGTATTATTTCTTGAAAGTAGACATTTATTTTTATTTGAATCAGTCTCCTAACCAGAACTTTTTCAATCCAAAAGCTAACATAGTATTTTGTGTCCTAATATTTTCCAAGATATATTAGGCAGTACATAATGAAAAGTAAATCTGTATTTGAGTGTATCATACTGCTAACATTTATCCTCTTATTCTGGAATGTCATTATCTTCCTGTCAAAATGAACTGCCATGGGAACAAGCCAATTTTAAGAGACACAAAATGCCACAGAATATGTACCCATGCTCACACTAAAGATAAACCCAAAGTATTTCCTTACCATCCTTTATGAAGAACAGAATGTCTGGTTTTAGGGTATGCTTCTCAGAGGATTCACTGTGCACAGCAGGTGGACTTACCCGGCGAGTTCTGGGGAGAGGACACGGGGGAGCCACGGGGGGACTGACAGTAGCTGGGGTGAAGTAAGGCATGTGGAGGCACATAAGACATTATCTCTTCTTCAAATAAACTGGGGAAAGACAAGAAACAAAATGCATACTTTAGCCAAAGCGGTGGGGAAAAGCCTTGCTTCCAAATGAGTAAGACCATCAGTTTCTCACTCTGGGTCCAGTTCATATCCCAAAGGGAGCACTCGTCCCCTCTCTCCTGTAGCTAATTCTTGGGACAAACAGCTTTTATGGAACCCGTGGTTCTGTGCCTGTTTTCCTACCAACTTTGGGCAACACGATTACTATTTTGCCACTTTAATATGTGAGTCTGAATTTACATGTTTTCTTGAACATAGTACCTGGGTTTTTAGCATTGAGAATAAGATTCAAACACAACACACAATGCTTACTGAGAACCCATAATAGAGACACAAAGTATGTTCTTTATCTTCATTCTAAGAAATATATGACAGTTTTCTCAATATGCAAAGAGTTTAGGATTTAACTGGAGAATTAAAAGCAAAATAAAACAAAACACCTCCTAAATAATTACAACTGCTCGTAGTTAGCTCCCTTGTTTACTCTGGCTTTATAATTTTTTAAATGTGAGGATTTTTATCTCAGATTATTCATATTCAATCCAGTGTCTTTGTTCTTCTCCATACTGAAATTTCTCTTTCTAGGACTCTCCTAAAAGCTAATAACCAGGGATGTGAGATCTTAGAATCTCAGACTTTTCATTAAATATAATGATAAAAGTACTATTGATTGCACTAAGCTCTTGACACTTGACAAGACACTTGACAAATATTTGACAAAGATTTGAAACAACAATAAAAGTAAGAGGACTTGTGTTTTTTAATTAAGAGGTAGAAGTAGGTTTTCTTCAAACTTGGCCAAATCTAGAAACCTGTTAGAAAACATTCAGAAAAAAGTGGCAACAGTTCATTCTTGCAGAGATTAAGAAAAGGACTCCTAAGCACTGGTTCTCAACTGAGGCAATTTTGCCCCTTCCCACACCATTTGGGGACTTTGGAGAACGTCTGAGGACATTTTTGGTTGTCATAATTGGGAGGGTATGCTTTTGGTATCTAGTAGGTAGAAGCCACGAGGCTAATACATCTTACAACGCACAGAAGAGCTCCCTGCAACAAACATGTATTCAGTCCAAAATGTCAGTACTTTCAAAGCTATCTCTTTTGACAAATATTTATTTATTTCCCAACTTTGTGCTTTTATCAACAATGTGCAATGAAGATCCTATATATATTGCCTTGTGCACAGGCAAAAGAGTTTTAGTATAAATATGGTATATATCTAAAAGCAGAAGTGCTCAGTCATAACACATTATGCCTTTTCAACTATACAAGATATTGTCAAATTGTACTCTGAAAAGTTTGTAGAAATTGCAATCCCACTAAGTCCAGACAGTATGAGAGTCCTTATTTCTCATTTGATATTATCAGACTTTTTGATTTTTTCAAATCTAATACTATGAAATACTGTCTCATTATTGTAAATTGCATTTTATGATTGCTAGCCATAAGTTTACTGACTATTCTTACTTCAATTTCTATGAAATGCCTTTTTATACCCTTTATCCATTTTTTCTTTTGGGTTCTTTTCTTCTGAATTGATGTAAAGGCATTCTCTGTATATTCATAATATCTTTGTTTTATGTGTTATGAATATATTCTTCCAGTTTGTTACCTTTATGCTTTTATATGTGGTATCTTTCATTATATAAATTTTAAAATTCTAACATTAGCCAAATATATCAATCATTTCATATATGAGCTCTGACAGATGTACATTTTTTTTTACAGGAGTTCAGTTAGTGAAAGAATATATGAAATAGAATAATCAATAACAAATGTAACAAAGTCATTTAAAAATTCTTGAGTTTTATAATAGCTATTTTGGAGAATAATCTTACATTGGCTTATTTTGAATTGAATAATTTCCTAGACCTGTGGCATCTTGATATTTCAGCTTGCTGATAATCAAGTCCATTTGTACAAGGAGTGATTTTCCTTTTTAAAAAATAGGGGCACCTGGGTGGCTCAGTCATTTAAGCATCTGACTCCTGGTTTTGGCTCAGGTCATGATCTCAGGTTCCTAAGATCGAGCCCGACATCAGGCTCAGCACTCAGCAGAGTCTGCTTGTCCTTCTCCTTCTGCTTTTCCTGCCTCCGCCCCGTGCTCTCCCTCTCTCTCTCTCTCATAAGTAAATAAAATCTAAAAAAAAAAAAA